CGCCAAGAAACAGCTAGCTCTGCGGTTTCATTTTATTACCACTCACGAAACCTGGCGATTAAGACGCGAAACCAACAAAGAGTTTTCTTTCCACCTTAACCTTGCACACAATCCTTTAACAAATTAATTAATCCTAATGAATTAACACTTCATTTATTTAAACGCGCTACAGTCCATGAATTAAATTTTCATGCAGTGATTAAAGGCTGTTAAAATATGCATGATTTCGTTAAAATTTTATAATAAATCAGGGCAATGTGTTACATGACAAGGCAACTATTTCCCAGCCCCTCGCAAGGGGCTTTGATTTGTGCGGGTGGCGGAGAGGAGGGGCTGCTGGCGGTGGCGCCGGCAAGCGTTGCAGCCGGGCGACAGGACCCAGCTCCACACTCTGGCGTTTGGACTCGCAGCTTCGCGCTTTCTTCTGCGGCTTCTGGAGCCTTTGAGGAATCCTGCTCTTGCAGGCAGAGCTGAGCCTGCGGAGGGCGACGGAGCCCGCCTCTCGGTGCGAGGAACTGCACTCGTGGGGGGCTGGGGGGTCCCCTGCTGTCCATTTGCGCCAGCGGAACTCCCTCCAACCAAGACGTGCGTGCGTTCCTGCCGCAGCCGCGGGCAGACTTATCTGGGGAGTGGGAAGGCGACAGAACTTCCATCTCGTCGCTTGGGGTCATGGATGGGGATGTCTGTCGTAGAGTCGTTTTGTTCGTTGTTGTTTTTATCCCGGAGACCTCGAGGCCCCTTCTCTGACCATCACGCTCTTTGAAGGTGCCTGGCTGGGTAGGCGGGCTTTGCTCCTCTTGAGACCTAAGCCTCAGGGGCCCGAGGCCATATTTAGTGGTACAACGTTGTTCCCTTGGACAGCAAAACTGGTTCTGGCAACTAGCGGGCGGGGAGGCGTGTCCGTTAGCATGGAGTTGTCTTGTATCACTCGTAAGGCTTTCACAAGGTAGGTGGGTTTTAAGTCCACAGAGAGATTAGGGTAGAGGTGGATACACAGATTTCTACACATGTAGCGCCAAGAGTGATAGTGACCCACGGTGAACTCCACTGGGCGCATCTGTAGGGGCGCTAGGGCATCAGCGACATCTCGGGATAGAGTGGGTGGTCCACATCCAGGAAAGTGTTCCCCAAAGAAGTTGCATTCGAATTAAACGGCCAGAAGAAAGAAAACTAGGTTTTCCACCGCCTTACTCAAGAACCAGCTGGGACCTGGTCTGAATGCCGGGCTGAGAGTCTCACAGGAGATCATCTCCAGCCCCAACAACTCTCCCAGGCCCTCCTTGTAGACCGAGTGAGACGAGTGCCCGCGGGTACCCGCAGGGCGGGGTAGAAAAGAAGGACCGTGGCCCCCAGAAAGTCTCCGAGCCTCTGCCAGCAAGAGCGTGGCTCTGGATGCACGCCTTGGGCTGAGCTGGGCCCGGGGGTTGGCCGAAGGCAGAGGCACCGTCCAGGATGGGATGGTGTGGGCACCCGGGCCTTGCAGGCTGTGCGGGGAGGTCGGAGGGCCCCTGGCAGGGCCGGAGACGAGCTCACTCTTTTCACCACGTGAGGGACGCGGCCAGAATGTGCGAGGAGTAGCGCTGAGACCGGGGATCAACGCAGCCCAGACGTGGCCCCGGGAAGGCGGCCCCGAGGCGAAGCGAGAGTACCGCACCAGTCCCCCTGTAGCTCACCTCTCAGACAGGGTCCCAGCAGGAGCGCGCCGAGACCGCCCTAGTGCAGCCCCTCTTTTGAGAACCGAGCCTCCCGCACACACACCCCACACACACTTGTGGGCCCCTCCTCTTTGCCTGCTTAAAACAATCTCAGCTGCTTCTAAAGCCGACTGTCTCTGGACTTTGGGGGGCTTCTCCTGCAAAGCCTAGTTTCAAACTGGGCAACAGCCCGAGGGAAACTTGGCGCCCCGAGTCTGGGAGGAAGAGAAATCACTCTTGGGCCGTCTGAACCCTAGGTGGCCCGGCCGGTAGGGAAA